GTCGTGCTTTTTACAGCGCTACGGCTTCCACAGATTAATTTGTTTATGTATTTATTGTCAAAGCATTTAATATATTCATTGCTATCGGGACGTTAAGAGCATTCCATGGAATATAACAAAAAGTGTTTTCTGAAATAAATTACATACCCCATTGAATTATGACTGAAGATCGTCAGCTGTCTTCCTCTCCCGTGTTGTTCCTCGTTTATCCATAGTTCGCTCATCGAGCCGGGGGTCAGGTTATTCGCCTCCAAGAAAAGGCGCTCGTGCGGGACCGTAGCAGGATGTGACGCATATTTTAGTTGACCTAATTAAAACCGTTTTGTTTTTTATTTATGTGTCACAGTATCACCTCAAAATACAAGATACGAAACATTTTCAACCATGCAACAAAATGTAAATAGTCCTACAAATACTTTTATTTTATTTCCTTCTTATTTTTGTCTAAACTCAAGGGAGCCAGAGCAGAGGGCTTCAAGGGCCGCGGGTTGCCGACCCCTGGTCTAAGCCTATAGCAGCAAAACTAGGGGCTGAATCTAATCAGCCCTAACTATAAGCTTTATCAAAAAGGAAGGTCTTAAGCGCACTCTTAGAAACGGATAGGGTGTCTGCCGCCCGAACACAAACTGGAAGCTGATTCCACAAAAGTGGAGCTTGATAAGAAAAGGCTTTGTTTGATTCTGAGTCTGAGCTTATTTTACCCGTGCCAGGATTTAGAACAACAAACAAGTCACACACGTTTGCATAGAGAATGTTTTGCTTTATGTATTCTTTTAGCATGTATCTTTGTCTCAAAATAATTTGAATTTATGTTATCTTTACGGTGTCTGAAAACACTTACATAACAAGAGATGAAAAATAAAACAAACAAATGTGCCAAAACACATGCAAAAGAAGAAGCATCATCAACCAGACAACACATGCAGTCTTTAAAAAACATTTGACAACTTGACCAAACATGCTGAGTGTTTACACAAAGCGCTGCACAAACAAAACGCTGCAATACAAAGCACAGCAAATAAACACAGGAACCAGGACACTGCAACCCTGAGCCTCCTTCAGTCCGAGAAGTACATGCCTAGTTGGTCAGAAGCATAAGTTGAGTCCTTAGCAATCATAGTATTCACAGATAAGTCATTTTTGACTTCTGAGGCGTCCAATGGAATACCATCCTCTGTTGATATTTTCCTAGGCCCACACCTTTGACCCAGTTTATCCGTTTGTACTGCCCTCAATGAGCACAGGCCTGCGACTTTGGGCTGCTCTCAGTGTTTTGTCCCAGAACTAGCATGTATCTAGCTGAACCAGCTAAATACATGGGGCTGGGGTAGAGATCTTCAGAATTGGTCGGGCAACATGTCTTTTCAGTTCTCCGGCCGTAACTCCATAATAAACCATCAGTGTTTGCCTTCAAGCTCCAGCTCTCCCCGTGTCTCTCTGAGTTTCGTCTCCATTGCTTCAGAAGTTTCCACCACACCCTCCATGATGTTCTCTGGAACATGGCTTTCTGGCTTCCCAAAGAAAGCTGGGCCCTTCAGTTCACCTGCTGCCAGCCAGCAAGTCATCGACTTTCAATCCTCTGGGCGCATTGTCTGCAGTTGACCATATATTAGACCCTCCAGAAAAACGCGGGCAAAAATCCTTGATTATGCGGGCTAAATTCCTTGATTATGCGATTAAACATGCAGGGGTTTTATGTGATTTTATGCGGTGAAATTGCGGGAAGTTACGAAATATGCGGAAAGTTGCAAAATATGCAAAATATGCGGGGAAAAAGAATAACAATTTTTTAAAATATTGGGCTGTCTTATTTATTCTCTCTCACACACAACCTACCACTAACGTTAAACCCCTTTACTATTCAATTAAACACATTCAATGTTTATTTATTGTAAAAGCAATTGTGCTATTTTTATCTACACACAACACCCCCACACACACACACACACACACACTTCTCCGCCTCATTCTGTTTTCATTTACTCGTTCGTTATCTGACCAGCTTCAATCTTGTAGGCTACTCACTTCGTTTCTTGTAGCCCTCGAAAGGGTTTTGGATGTTGATGCCTTGGTGAACGTGAGTTGTTTGGCTTTCTTGTCCGCAGCAGCAGAAAGCATTTTTGAATGTTTGAATGAATCAAAGTGGGTCGTCACCGTCGATTTTCTCTTATGCTCCAACACACAGTTGCACAGGGTGCAGAATAGTTTCCCCCCACTTTTTGCCCGGTCTTTAGTAGAAATGTTCGTCGGTAAATGAGATGGATTACATTTTTTCATCTTGATGTTTTCTCTATCGTGTGAGCTCCACACGTTCACTCTATACAGTGTTGTTTACATTCTGTGATGCGCGAGCTGATGAAGTCACGTCAAGACGAGTTAACTTTTTTTTTTCTCAACTTTGTGTGGAAAAATGCGGGGATTATGCGGTCTTTTGATAAATATGCGGCCTTTTAAAAATCTGCGCCATTTAGCTGATTATGCGGTAAATTCTGCGATCGCAGAATCGCGTTTTTCTGGAGGGTCTAATATATGAACCATCCCAGAATGGTCCTGCTTGAATTTCCACACCTGTTTTTTCACCTCTCATTGTCCCAATTGCTTGGGAGCATTGGTTCCAATCGACAGGTGCACAGTTACTTCAATGCTTGGGATGCGTACCTTTGACAGGTGTGGCCATTCAGCCAGAGCTTACTGTGTCACTATGTCATCAGCCGTCACTGGCAACATCTGGCAGCAGATAGAAACCACTGCTGTCAAGGCCAGCAACCTCCAAACCAGTCAATGAGTAAGCCGTCTCAACTGTTCCTTGCTTCAATTTGCGTAGCAGTAATTATTTTACCTGCAGCATTCAGGTTCTTCTTAAAATGTTTAGAGCAGAACTTATATTTTTGCTTGTATGTGACCTTCACGGGAATGATCAGTGGAGCACACTGTGTGTTCACATGTTGTGACTGCAGTTGGCTGGTCTTTGCATGGTTCCCTCTGCAACTCCAGAGCTGCTAGCTTCTTCATGTGGAGTACAGGGGGAGTTTGACCACAGACTTTGCATGTCAAGCTCCTCTGGCAATCACGATTCATGTGACCAAAAAAACCTCCCTTTTACCCAAGAAGTGATTTTTGCGTCGGACTCCTTCCTTTTAGCTCTTTACACACTTTTTTTCCCCCGCCTGTTTGACTGTATGAGTGTGTTCACCTGCTGCCCTCGTCAACTGTGTCTTGTCTTTGTGATCAGTTGTGTGTGGACAGACCTGTCTCCCCTTGTGTTCTTTGTCAGTTCTTCCTTTTGTTCCTGTCCAGCCCTAATGGACAAATTGTATTTCGTCCCTGCCAGATTCCCAGTGCATCCAAATAGGTACTAGTTCTGAGCTATTATTCTCATGACATATTTGTGCAATTTAGATATGAGTATTTTATTACCTATGATATCAACATAACTTCATAGACACGATTAGCTTACAAACTTTATTTCTGAACTTTAATGTCTGAAAAAGAAAGAGGGCAATGTCTATGTTGCAAATTAGACTGCGTGCAAAACCAACTGTGGGGAGTTTTAACCTGCCTGCTAGTTAACATGCATACAATATGTTTTCTTCTGATATAAGCATTGTCATGAGACTGCAGTGCTATGGAGTTGTCCCAAATAGAATCCAGATTAGGCCACTGGGCTCAGTCTGCTCACACTCATAAACCTTCTACACACTGCCTTCATTATTCTCTCCCTTAGAACAACACTGTTGCCTGACAGGACAATCGCTGTTTTGTTCCTACCATCAGACCCGACACAGGCCAGAACCAGAAATCAATTTCCCTTACAGCGTAGTACACTATCAAGGGCACACCGGCAGGGCCCAGGAGGTAAACTGGGACCTCTCCAAGTCCACACTCTGTTCGGGGACTTGAACCAGCAACCCTACGGCTCACAGTCCAAGGCCCTACTGACTGAGCCACTGCTGGCTGAGGTTTCTATAAATGTTGTTAATTTTGGATTGGAAGAATGAGCAGGAGTTGCATTGTGCGTTTGTGAAGGTTGAGGTGGCGTTGTCACAGGGTTTAAGGAGTGTGTCTGATAACATACCCTCCAATGTTCTTACCTCAGACTGTACGGTTATTACAGACTTTTAAACCAACCACTCACTCTTGTCTTGTTCATGTGCCGACGGCAGAGCTCAGCATTATCTTATAGTCTGTTGGACTGGCTGTGCTCTCGATTTGTGTGCGTGTGTGTGTGTGTGTGTGTGTGTGTGTGTGTGTGTGTGTGTGTGTGTGTGTGTGTTTGTGGTCCTTTTTTGTGAAATAAAATCAACACACTGCCTCCTGTCTGCTCTCAGGACTGTGGGAGAGTGTTGGGCCCAGTTAAAGAAGAGTCTGGAAGACGAGGCTGAGGTTCACTTGAAGTTCTCCTCAAAGGTAATCCAGCATGGGTTTGTCTTAGGGGTTTAGAGAGGGAAGAGCACAGATGTTGGCCAGGATGCAGCTGGTCTGATGCAGGAAATGGAGCCGGTGATGTGATCCTCCAGAGATGCACAGATGTGCTGCAGAACAAGGAATGGGATGGAAATATACTTTGATTGTTTCCAATGAAAACAATATAATTAATACACACAGTACAGGTGCACACAGAGAGGTGCTAGAGCCTGCCAGTTTACAAACCTCGGCTCAGGAGGTGAACTGGCACCTCCATTTTATTTGGGTCCGATTGTGCGACCAATCGGTTCCAAGGCCAAGTTCCCTTAACTCTTGGGTAAAGCCATTTGCACTCAGTTCTACTGTAAATTGGATACATCTGAAGTAAGTTAAACAATTAATAGATAAAGTTGTTGTTGTTTGTTTCCAAAAATCCCAAAAAATGTTTTGACAAAACTAAATCATTGTGAGATTGTCATGACATAATGTGGAAAGCTGGAAATAATTAATATTGTGAATGGATATGTAAATCCAGTTTGTGGGGGATGGGTGATTTGCACTGTGTTTTATACATCATCATACATCTTGTCTCACATCTAAGAGTTAAAAGCCATGTGCTGTTCATCTCTGGGCTACTTTATTCCAGCCCCAGTTTGAGTTTGTCAGATGGACAAGCTCATACTGACAGGGGAGGGGACACTCAACCCAGGAGCTGATGGGAAGAGCATAGGGTCTCCAGAGAAGGGCATGGAGTCATTTAGATAACTGGATATTTTGCTCCAAGGAGCCATCACATTTTTTCAAATGGTAGTTACTCTCTATATACAAATGTGAAGAAAAGTTTTTCAGTTCAATTGTATTGGTCCTACAGTATGGCTCAAAGTGGACCACTTTAGGTTTTACAGACATTTTTGACAAGTTTACAATGTCTGGTGATTTGCAATTCCGACTACAGACACTGCTTTTAAATGGCCAATAATAATAGCTTTAAACCCTTCAGTGACACTATCTTTGCTCCCAGAAGGTACATTTTTGTTGTTAGTTTTTTTAACTTTTGTGTACATTTCCCAAAACAGTATTTCTTTGTGTAGTTTACGTAACTTTAGAAACAAAGGCTTCAAAGTCACATTCACACTAGCTTTTATTCTCAGCAAGGGAGATTTCATATTTTATTCCTGTGTTTTTACATTGGCTCAAAGACCTGAGGTCCTCAGGAGGATGCTCTCTGGTTATTACACCATTTATTATTATCTGCTTTTGAGTTATTGGTTGTTTGTGTTTCGTACAGCTGCAGAGTGAGGTGGAGAAGCCTCTTCTGACATTCCGGGAGAACTTTAAGAAGGACATGAAGAGGTACGAACATCACATTGCTGACCTCCGGAAGCAGCTAGGTGGCCGCCATGCATCGGTGGAGAAGGTAACCAGGAACAAGAACAGAGCTCCGCAGCATGAGGGGAACACAGTTCTGACAATCACCCTGATGCTGATTAAGATTCCCTATATTTGCCTTTCGCGATGGGCTGTTTCCCATCCCTGGAATGTTTTAATATGTATAAAGAAAAGCAATCTGGGGTGACAGTTTATTTCTGATTTCCTTATTTCATGGAAAATTGAGCATTTAAAGCAGGACAGGCAAAACATTTCCGGTCATGTTGGTTGGATGATGGATGAAAAGTAATGACACATGATGATGATGTGAAAGTGCCGCTCCCTGAACCTTCTTGCTGCACTCCATTATTCAGATTGAAATGATTTGTATAGCAGTGAGATGTGAGCCCGTCACTCACTCCTGCGTCTTCTCTTCGCAGGCCCGTAAGGCTCTGGCTGACAGACAGAAAGATCTGGAGCTGAAGACTCAGCAGCTGGAAATCAAACTCAGCAACAAGATTGAAGAGGACATCAAGAAAGCCCGCAGGAAATCCACACAAGCAGGTCAAAGACAGGGTCAAAGGTCACAGCACTGCCTCGCTAGCTCTCATTTATCTTTGGGCGTATATATATATATATTGTGAGATACTGATATTGATCATATACCGCTTATAAAGTTTCTAGAAATGAATGTATTCATCATATAAACCGCTTCTAATTTCTATTTAAAAAAGGTTGAAGCTTATAACGTTTTTTCCCCATTCAAGGAAAGGCAAAAAAATGTGAACTGTAAATATAGAACAACTGCAGGTTTACATCCCCTGCCTGACGAACAAAAAGCTCTGTAAATCAAAATAAAAACACGGGCATATATACAGCTGCACAATTTAGGCCAATATGCCAATTACCAAGATTAGTTTTCTGTGTCTGATCAATATGTTAAATTGTGGCTCAGTTGTTACAGGCGCAGTCCATAATGTGGATTTTGGTCAGACTTATTCTGCTAATTACAGAAGTTAATTTCCTTTAAAACTGCATATAAGATTTAAATGTTAAAAAAGAGTTATATATACAAATATAAATGTTACTTTTGTTAGCAATAAAACATTACCTGTTTAATTCAATGTATCTTGAGCTGGCTAACAGCTTTCATTTAAAACAGAACAGCTGTCTGAGAACATGAGGACACAGTATGAAGCCGCTTGTGTCTCCGTATATATGGAAGAACCTCTAGGCTTCATATCAAACACCCAATGGCCATAATCAGCCCTTTAATGGTCTTTATTTTGGGGGTTTTAGCCTCATTCTATAGTTAGAGGTTCTCAAGGGTTTAGGCTCAAACTCAGGCTCGCTTTTCTAAACGTGCGTGAGATATTTAGTCATCACACATTCTAACAGAAAATATAATTAAATTGAATATAAAGTTGCCGAAATGTCAGCATACCAGAGGGATCAGCATCATCCCCTCCCTGATATGGGTCAGAGGGATCAGCATCATCCCCTCCCTGATATGGGTCTTGTTTCTCAGCAGGATGTAAACAGAGAAACACTCTCCTTTTATTATTGCTTATGATATCATATCGAATGTATTAGAAATCCATGTTGTGTGCACTGTTCAGGCTCAGCTGAGTGATGTAGTCTCATCAGCTGTTGGGCAGTAGCACCACCTAGTGGTAGAATATAGCACCTTGTATTTGAATGTGCTGTACACAGTTTGTTCTTATCAGGTCTCATGTAATACATGTGTGTCCTTTTAAGACTTCTTGTTGTATTCTCTCCAACAGGAGACGATCTGATGCGCTGTGTGGACCTTTATAACCAATCACAGTCCAGATGGTTTGAGGAGACGGTCACCACCAGTCTGGTAAAACGTCCTGTTAATGTGTGTGTAGTTTGGTGTGAGAGAAAGCTGTTCTACGCGGCTGCTCTTCCCTTTGGATGTTCTTCAGCATCATAGTTAGCAAAATCTGACAATATCAGTGGCTTTAGTTCATTCTCCCAAAGTTTGAGTCTGCAAACTCATAACATAAATGAATAAACTGACTTACTGAATGGAGCCTTTTCACTTTGTGTGCTAAACAGAATTTGTGAAGGTCCAGAGCATAGCAAAATAAACATATAAGATACAAAGAAACTACAAGTCATGTTAATAATACAAACAAATGATCTGAAAGAAATACAAAAATAAGTAATATTTCTTGTATTTTGTAAATTACACAAATGTTTATTCATAAGAACTTTTATTCTACATAGACATGTCCATTTTCATGTACACAAGCACTTACAATATACAATATATATATATAAAGTTTTAGTCCATGTGTAATGTCTATAAATGATCAGGTCATATACACTTTGAGAATGCGGCTACAAAAGGATGTTTGTAAGACGTGTGAAGAAGAAGCATGGTTAAAGCATCAGGGCTCCCTAAGACACTGTACATTTACTATAGAGACTGAACGGTTCATTTGATGTCTAGGTGACTTTAGAGTCATAGCTTTGATCGACCCTACATAACCTCTTTTGATCAAATGTGTGACAAGTTTACTGTTTGGTGAGTAACAGTGCCTGTTTGCATTTCAACTTCTCTGTGTGCCCCCCCCCCCAGGAGCTGGAACGGCTGGAGGTGGAGCGGGTGGAGATGATCCGACACCATCTGTGTCAGTACACCACCCTCCGACACGAGACAGACATGTTCAACCAAAGTGTAAGTTCAACTCACACTCAGCATTACAGGCGTTCAGAGGAAACACGTATACCTTTTAGAGTCAGAGTACCATGAGGGATCAGGGCCAAAGCTACTGCGTAAAGGCACTATAGTGCTGTCGAGTCAAAAGACATTTTGATAAATAACTTTTATTTTCATAACTTGGCCTAACTTAAATTGGTCAGGGTAAAGTTCAATCCAGACTTTATTGATTCCCTGAGGTGGCAAGAATAGATAAAGAGGTCATAAATAAATAAAAGAGCTATAGTATATAAAATATATACTGTAGATTGGATGCAAAATCTGACATCAAACTTGATAGCTGAGTGCCAAATACTCTTCTGCTGCCACATTTGTTTTTGAAATGAGGCAGGAGAAACTTTAAGCTTTTGCATCTTTGACTTCCTTTCCATGCACTCTGATCTCCTTCCAAATGTTTGTTACGTTGAGTGTGTATAGTACTTTATAGAGAGTATAAAGTACATTAAAAGCACCATGTTGTCTCCTAATAGTCTAGTTTCCAGCATAGTGAATCCGTGAATACCCCAAAGTTTTATGTTAGAAATGTATAGTAGGGTCCCCAGCACATAGAAACTGCCGGATGCTAACCTGCATATGTTGGGCAAGTTGCACAATTAGCATAATTAGTGTTATTTAAAATTATTGTGGACAATAGTTAAAAAATTACTTGACCGATTTGGATCCTTTTGGAGTGGTTTTGGGGGTTATTGAGGATGCTGAATCCATTTCAGACGTTTTCAGTGGCCATATCTGGACTCTCTGTGGGCTGATTTAGACTACCATGAGTAGTGTTGCTACCATTGAATACAGAAAGCACAAAATGACCATTACTACTGTGGACAATTTATTTCCAAATAAATAAGCAAACTGTCCAACCCAAATGATCCAGAATCCCCGAAATCTTCAAAATCGACCCAAAATAAATCTAAATCAGCCCACAGAGAGTACAGATATTTTTTTTAAATGTTGAAGTTAAATGCATTAATCTGGTGCACTTTGAGAGCAAAATTAGGGACTAAATCTATGAATACATTTCTCAACACCCATATGAAACAGAACTGTAAACAGATTTACAAGTGGAGGCAAAGTCCTGCACCCAAAACAATAAACCTGCTAGCTAACTAGCCTAAACTCAGTAACAGAATGTGGGCAACACGTTCTTCTCCACAGCCGCGCGACCTCTGAGTCAGATGTCACCAGGGGCGGTTCTAGGGGGGGGGCAGTTCCCCCCTAACACTGACTTTGGACCCCCCTGTGGCCCCCCTAAAAAGGAAAAACATTTTTTTTATGATTAAACAATTTCTTGGCTGACGGAATAGGCGGAAGTAACGATATTTGTCATTTGAGTCTGACCCATTAGAGCAGGGGTCTCCAACACGTCGAAATCATTCCAATGTGTACTATAGGACAGTAAAAAAAAAAAACTGTTTGAAAGGGGAGTGATTAGTAAAATATGCATAAATAAAAAAAAAGAACGCTATAGGTGTAACATAAGATAAGAATAAACAAGTTTAAATGATTTGTTCTTGGTTGTGATCATATTCTAAAGATGTTTTGATTATTGAAAAGTATACAGCTCCCTTTCATCTGAGTGTTGAGAGCTGTATCCATACATTCATTGTGTGCTCAAAGTGCACCAGATTGATGCATTTAACTTCAACATTTAAAAAAAAAAGTCTTCCCGGGACTCGCCTAGAGGAGGTGAGGCCCATCCACCCCCAAATAAAGCAGGTTAAAATGATTAAATTGCATACATTTTCTTTTAGAAAACACTGAAAACGGGTCCCACAGACCCAAACATAACACAAAGGTAAGCATATAATAATGTGTAATGAAACAAATACCAATAACTGTATTGCATCGTTTTCTTAGGTGTATGTGCAATTACTTCATACTGTCTTTGTCTTTTTCGTCCTGCATTTATTGTGCCCCCCTCAGAAAATAACTGGCCCCAGCCTGGCCCCCCCAGTCAAATTAGACTAGAACCGCCACTGGACGTCACTTCCCCCTTTTCTATCCTACGGGTACAGCCACTCCCCCTGAACTCCCGGTATTCCCAATGGCCAGTCCGCCCCTGGCTGGGGACCTATACTATACATTTCTAACATAAAACTTTGGGGTACTCAACATTTGCGGGTTCACAACAGGACACTATCAGTGGCGTCATGTCTTCCCCTGAGCTTCAGCTGCTCTCTGTGTCTGCAGACGATGGAGCGGGTGGATCAGCTGCTACAAAGTGTGGACCCCATCAGAGACAGAGAGCTGTGGGTGGAGGAGAATAAGACCGGAGAGATCAGGCCAGTGAACGTAGAGATCTGACCCCAGATGCTCTTCATACGCACATTCAGGGACTGGCTCCATCATGCCTGAGGACCCTCCTGTGACCCCGAACACAGCGGACTGCTTAGGATGAACCAAGATAGGGACACCTGTAACTGTCATGCAGCAGTGTGTGTGCTTTTACTCTGTGGAGTCATTCTTTCTTTCCCTTGTGTGTCAACGTACACCTGAACGTTGTTGCCAAAAAATAATTTAACATTAGCTGCTAAGCCAAATGCATTCTCAGCTAAGAGTGATATTTCTATGTACCAGAACTAGACATTACTATCTTAAATGACAGAGTTGTTGGCTTGTGTGAGCGAATACTAAAGCTTAAACTCAGGCACCATTCCTAACATGTTTGGGTGTTCTTGAAAAAAGACACAAACAACCATTATTGTAGAGTATTACTTTGTATGTGTTGAGAAGTCCAAAGCTTCTTTCATCTTTAAAATAAGTATGAAATATTACGTTTCATTTCCACCAGTATTTTTCTTAATAAATGTACTTTAAATATACTGTTTATATGAACAGTTACCTAAAGAGAACTTTTTTGTTAAACATTTGATAATCCATCGCAGGAGGGGCCTTTATGGGGTTTAGAGGGAGACTAGTGTACGTATATGGGATGTGTTTTTGCAATGAAAGGAGGCAGAAAAGCTAAATGATGTAAAATACTAATAGTAAATAGTTTTAAACGAAAACATATAATATAGAACTATCTGGGACTGTTTATTGCCAAATGGAAAATACATATTCATTCAAATAACATCCTCATTTATATTCTACTTTTTTTAACCACCTCTTCTCCAGTATTATTGCCTATGATTACTACTTTTGAGAGAAGTACTTAAGGGCTGAAGGTTTGCATTTATTATAAATAAAATAAATATGTGTTAAAACATCCTCCTTTTTGTGCTGATTTTTGCTTTTGTGGTGGTGTTTTTGTTTTTGTAAAAAAAATATAAATGCAAAAAGAGCTCAAATTCACATGTTCGCAGCAATAATAATGGTATGGTTATTAGTTCAGAAAAACATGCTTTAAGCAATTAGTACACAATTTACAAATAATCTACAAATCATTCACTATTAACCCTCCTGTTGTCTTCGGGTCAAATCTGACCGATTTACTACTTTCATCAATCATAACTTTTTTGTTTTACATTCGATTGCATTAAGGCTTTATGATATCCTTCACAGTAGACATTTGAACATATAAAATTGCTGATCACCACTTTCATTGAATTTTGGATGATTTAGTCAACTTTGTAACACCCATGGTGTTCCAGGTCAAAAATGACCGCCATAAAGAAAAGGAATTAGTAACCATCTGGATCAGATCACACACACACACACACACACACACACACACACACACACACACACACACACACACACACACACACACACACACACACACACATTCTATTGGGCTAGGGGAACCAAAGGGAAATAACACGACCAGTGGAATTGGTATTAATTATAAGCGTTTATTGAAAGACAGCTGTAAACAAAATGGCAGGCAAGCAGCCTGAAACAAACAAAAGGGCCAAAAGGGCACCGGTTGA